AGTAACCTTCAGTGGTTGTTATTGGTTGACCGTTGGAGGGTTAGGTATCCTATAGTACACAAGTTATGACAAAAAAATACAAAATAGTTTTTAAATATTTTGTTAATAGTTTTTCAATTAGTACCAAATTAGTCTTTAAAATCATACCTTAATGATAAAATACTTTTGTATAAGAGTCGTTTTATATATTTAGAATAAATCAGTTTTTTAAGAATTAAACTAGAAACCTCTCACCAATTAAAAGACCAATTAATTAATTTTTTGTTTTATTCTTAAGTTAATTTATTCACATCAATTACCCATTTATTTTTCTAAAATCTAACTGTTCCATATAATAATTTTCTAAACTTTAGTTTCATTATAATGAAAGCATGGATAAAAGAAACAAAAAATGAAAACTAAACAAAATTTGGTTAATTGAATTGATAGAAAAGAGAGAAAAACAACATGACTGTCAATATGGTTATGATATATAAATTTTGTTTTTTCTTTGTATATCTCTTATTTTCTATTATTTTAGCACAGCATAGGACTTTGAAGTGAATAAAGATATAATGAAATTGTTTTAGAAAACAAATGCTTTAACTGACCTGGTTGAGCATGCACTAGAACAAGTAGAACAGCTAAAACAGCAACTTAGAAACTCATCACATTGTATATGTTGACTTAGATCACGTAGTCAACAACTCAATATGGGTCATAAAATAAATAGTACTTGAATTTTCCTATTAATCAAAGGGAAATTGAAATAAAACAGATTAAATATATTTTTGTGACCAAAGTGTAATTCATTTAAAGAAAACAGCATAAAAAAGCTGAATATTAGCACAAAAGTATACATATTTAAAGCTTTATATATATGTTTTTATCTTAAAGAGTGAGGGATTATGACCTAGAGCATGAAAAAAAAAATGCAGAGACGAAGATTTGGCCAACTACAAACCTGCATGTATGAAGAAGAAAGAAGAAATATATGTTACCTATATATGTGCAGTGATGTGATCTGAATATCTGGTGTTCCAAGACTACTACTCACCTTACCATCCATCAAACCTCTATATTTTAGCTTAATAATATACTGTAAGAGTTTGTCCTTTATACAAAGAAACAGAGGTTGAGTACTATGAAGTGACTAGGTCAGAAAAAAAAAAAAANAATAAAACAGATTAAATATATTTTTGTGACCAAAGTGTAATTCATTTAAAGAAAACAGCATAAAAAAGCTGAATATTAGCACAAAAGTATACATATTTAAAGCTTTATATATATGTTTTTATCTTAAAGAGTGAGGGATTATGACCTAGAGCATGAAAAAAAAAATGCAGAGACGAAGATTTGGCCAACTACAAACCTGCATGTATGAAGAAGAAAGAAGAAATATATGTTACCTATATATGTGCAGTGATGTGATCTGAATATCTGGTGTTCCAAGACTACTACTCACCTTACCATCCATCAAACCTCTATATTTTAGCTTAATAATATACTGTAAGAGTTTGTCCTTTATACAAAGAAACAGAGGTTGAGTACTATGAAGTGACTAGGTCAGAAAAAAAAAAAAACAATAAAAAGGACAATGACGGTTGACTCTATGGTTGCCGTTGGATGTTAGCTTCAGTTTCAGGCTGATGCCAAAACCTAACCTTATGATCCACGCCACTGCGTCATTCAAATCTTGGTTTTTGTATATTATTCCTAACGCGTTTTGGAATGACTAAAAACTGACGGATAGGAGACGGTATAAAATTAAAATTAAAAATTTATGAATTATAAAATTATAAGATATAATTTTATTATTTGTAATTTTGTATTTTATAATTCTATAATTATATATATTCAAAATGTATAATTTAAAATATATTTTTAGATTAAAAATATATTCTATATTATTAAAATTAAAATATGTTTTTGAATTATTTAACATAAAATATATTTTAAATTTTAAATTACACAATTTTAGAATTAATTTCCATAATCCAAAATACAGGTCTAATTTATGAACAATTTGAACTTTTTCCATACTTATATAGAAAAAAGAGTGAAGGGTACTAAAAGAAATAGATGATGCAATTTGTAGGTGCATTTGGGGTGTGTTTAAATTCATATATAAACAATTGCATATTAGTGTAAAAATTATGATTAGGAATAACTAAATAGTTTATAAACATGTGATTGAAACTAAATGGATATTAATGATAATGTATAGCAGTAGATACTCAACCCATCCCTATTTATGACCATACCATGCAAAATATTAAAAAAAGAAACATAAAAGAGAGGAGACTAATAACATGAAGATGTTTAAGAAAAATAAATCAATATCGTAGCTAGTAAAAAAAAACACACATATATATATATTTAAAGTAAACAAACCGTGTAATTTGTTCGGGAAAGCTTTTTTTTTTCAGCTAATATGTTATTTCTCCTAGGTACATGTTTTTTTGTTGGATAAATGGATATGGAGAGTGGTTTAATATGCTTATGATGAACAGTAGAAGACTCCAAAGAATATCTTGCACTACAGACCATGACTTGACTTAACTATAATTATTATAAGGATTTTGTTATAATGTGATTAATTAATGACTATAGGTCAGAAAGATTCCCACTGTGGAGGGACAAACTAAAAACTAACAGAAAACTAATGGAGAGAGTAGTTTAATATATTTTTTTATGACTAAGTATTTAACATGGCAAATTGAATAATAACAGAGATGACATAAGTAGATAGATTGTTTTATTTTTATTAACTTGTTTTGTATGACAACATTGTTTATTTATTTTAGGTTTGATTATTAATTTAATTCTTATATTCGTTTAAATTATTTAATTAATTTTTTTTAATTTAATATTGTATATATAAAGATGATAAATATTTGTACTCATAATTTTTTTTTCTAATTTCTTATATAAATCTTTTTACACAGCTAATTATATAAAGTAAGTTACCCATGTGTGGTTCTCCTTCTGGGTTGCTTCTTTTTATCCTATTCGAGATGTTTATGTTGTGGTTCTTTCACCATATGAACCTGAAAAAGATATAATCTTTCTGATCCACAACCACTCACTGACATCTATTCCTCGTTTAATATTGCGAATCCATCAATACTCTCTTCCTCATTTAATATGATGACTCTCCATCAATCTCTCTAACTTGTATGATTTAGATTTAATCAATTTGATTTTAAAAAATTTATAAAATATGAAATTATAAGCTTTGAAATGATTTTTTACATTTATAATAATTTCAAAGAAATTATACATTTAAAAAAAATCACAAATAAAATGTATCTTTATCTATTATCTCATTTACTAATAAATATTCTAATAAAAGTATATTTTAGTGACAGTCAGTACTAGTACTAAGGTAAATTATTTAATATATAATGGTTACTTGAAACTACGCCTTTAAAAATAATTAATTTTATTACTTTTTATACATGACTCTAAGCAAATAAAGTATTAAGCACCGAATGACGAGTTTACACATTCAATCATTCGTATCTCTAAGTAAAAGTACACTAATAAGAAATTCCAGATCAGCTATCTAATGAAGAATAAGAGAAATAATAAATAAAAATAGTAAGATTTTAATGCAAATTATAATAACTAATTAATTTTAACTTATTATTACTATTTTATATAACATATTTCTGGAGAAAGTGACTTTTTTTTACGAAAAGTTATTTTAACTTTAGTATATTTTTTTACATATTCAATATGACCGACTTCAATTTTAAGAAAATAAAAAGAATCAGTTAAAAATTGAGTAAAATTAACTACAATTATGTTATTTTTTTGGAAAAAAAAAGTCACCGAAATTGGTTAATTCCCCATATTTCCTCGTATATCAAAAGCCATAAAGATCCATTATGTCTTGATATTTTCTCATTACTTCTCTTGAATTCCAACAAAACTAATTGTTATAACGAAGCAATAAAATAATAAAAATGGCTAGTGATTATTTTTTACGAAACTTTAGTTTACAGATTCATAATAGTATTTTTAACTTTTATTTATTCAAAGCCTACACAATAATTTTTCAATTTTTAATTTGAAATAATATATAAAACATCAAGTATACTTGTTGACATACACGGATATAAAAATAATTACAAAATTTCTAAATGCGTTGCAAGGATTAAGCTTTTGAAGTCGTATACTATTTTTGAAACATAATCAAACTTATTAGTTAAGAAGACTTTAAAAAAAATTAAAAAGGTTAGAACTTATGATTTTAGAAAATTCCCTTAAAATCTGAGAAACTGACAAATTTATTTCTGTGATCATTTCTTCATTTACATTTGGGTTCATTTCTTCGTTCTAGTGGTTCACTATGCATATAAGAGGGCAAAACAAAGATAGATTGTTCAATAAATATAATGCAAAAAAATTGATAATAACAGCTTTTCAATTCTCATTTTTTATTTCAATACTGATATGCATTCTACATTACCGCTATCACCACTTCCAAACAACACGACAGATTGATAAAAGTGATCAAAGTAAAGCACCTAATAACCAACTTCTTGTACAACATCAATTTCCCTTTTTACAACGTTATTACATGATTCTTATGTTGAGTAGCGTTTACCTAGCCGACGGCATGAATTCGCTGTCAACATTCTCGCTGACCGGTGCAACTGAATACTTGGGATCAGCACCACCTGTTCTAGCTAATTCGGTCGCTAAAGCCTCCTGTAGTTCAATCACTACCACACTCATCATTGGCCTTTCGTTGGGATTTGGAGAAACACAAGCCATTGCTATTTCTACGGCTTTCCATGCTGAGTTTATGTCAAAATTTCCTTCTAAGCTTGAGTCAACTATGGCCCTGATATCCCCTTTTGATACCATCAAGTTAACTCGTTCACTTATGTGACCCGTTTCTTCATTCCCGGCCATTACTGGTTGATTTGTGATTATTTCCAAAAGAACAACTCCAAAGCTATAAACATCACTTTTCTGTGTTAATCTATTAGAAGAATGGTAGCTGCAAGAGAAGTCATGAAACCCAAATTATTTACTCTTGGTGGATTTTGTGATGATAACTCAAATATCACGTGGAAAACCTCACTATATTTTCCTACAAAATGATCGAAAGGGCAACAATTAAGTACTTACTGAGGGTCCAGATAACCAAGTGTACCAGCAACAATAGTTGACACATGAGATCTTCCATCATCTGGGACAACTTTGGATAGACCAAAATCAGATAACTTTGCTTGGAAGAGTTCATTCAACAAGATGTTTGAAGACTTTACATCTCTGTGGATTATAGGAGTCATGCAACCATTATGCAGATATTCCAATCCTGATATTAGATTTAGAATTGCGGCAAACGTGTTAGGAAGGTAAAAGGGATTTAACATAAATTCACAGTTCGAATTTTACTTTCTAACCTACGGCTGCATCCACTGCTACACGAAGTCTGTCCTTCCAGCTCAAGAATGGTGATTCGTTGTGTTTACCTACAAGAACAACTTCTGTAACTTTCTATTCTATACATGTTTGTTTTTGTTCAGTAAAAGTTATTCATACGACTCATACAGTTCTCTAATATTAAAAATTATTTATCCACAGTTTGAAAATTCAAATTTAACTTGGAAATTGATTTCACAACACAAGAAAATAAAATTATTTAAAACCAACCTGAGAGATGTTCTCGTAAGTTCCCTTTAGCCATGTATTCATATATAAGGCCCTTATTGGATCCTTCGTTACAGTAACCAATAAGGGATATCAAATTTTTGTGATGAACTCTGATTAGAAGTTTAATCTGGAAATAAAAGTCACAGCTATGTTAAACCATATAGGTTTGGTACCAAAGTCAGAAACCTAGAGTAAATTGATTAATAACTTATACCTCTGCTTGAAATTGTTGATAACCATGAACTGCTGATGGGGAAAGCATTTTCACTGCAACTGGAGTCTCATCGATAAAGCCCAGGTAAACTGTTCCAAATCCTCCCTTACCAATAATTCTATTGAAATTGTTAGTGATTTGAAGGACATCATTGTATGAATACATTTGACTTTTGCGTTGCTGGAACGAATTATCCTTTTCCGTGGATTTCTGTGAAATCCCACTCAGATGATTTACTGCCACTGGATATGTAAATTTTTCAATTTTTAAAAATAATTGGTTAAAAGATTAATTTTTTGGCATGTTGTTAACAGAAAAAACGAATTTTTCGTAGTTATTTCGGCCTTACGTTTTGATTTTTTCCTTTTAAGGATCCACAATGTTCCAACGGCTATTAGAAGAAATAAAACCCCACTGGTCGAGGCTACTGTGGGTGTAACAGTGTTTTTCTTTCTCTTCTTGTTGCATTGAGCAGATTCACATGGATATGGTTTTTGATCCACACTGGCATGGAAATCACAGAAAAATTATGATTCAAGTATCAGTAAACCTTACAAGTAATCCATAATTCAAATACATAAATCTATTTTGCTTGTGGTTAGAGATTGCGTGGATCCTGTATATATGAATCTCTAAAACTGCCTTGAATATAAGTAATTAATAATCATCAGCATAAATAATGAATTTGAGACTTTTTAATAAGATTCATACCTTAGTGAGAGAGAACCTTTGCGTGATTTTTCAACAAGTGCAGAGGGAATTGAACCGGAGAGGTCATTCTTCTCCAAGTTTCTAAAAAAAACAGTGTTTTCTATTATCTGATAGAGAGGATAACCTATACAGTGGTTGAGTAAATGAAGTAACTTACAATATCTTCAAGTGTTGTAAATGAGACAGAAAATCAGGAACTTCACCATATAAGTTATTGTTAGATAAATCCCTGGAAAACAAATAATATAGCGTTTTGAAAAATGTTTACATCTCGACTCATGTAGGAAAAGTTATGTCGATTCTTCACAAATAACAAGTACATATCGGAATCAATAAAAAGATAACGAGAGATTTTTCTGTCGGGTGAAATAAAAGAAACAAAAGAAAAAGAAACTAACAGCTTCTCCAACATGGTGAGGTTTGAGATTGAAGGGTCAATCTTTCCTGACAATCCACTCGAAGATAAATTCCTGTTTTGCTCAATGAACAGTTATATACGATGTGATCTTAATTAGTTTTATGAAGGTATAATAATAATTTGGCAAGCAAGACTTACAAAGCTTTGATTCTTGGGAACTCATTGTCATAAGTGCAGTTGAGACCATCCCACAAGTAGTCTACAGGGGAGCATGGATCACCTTCCCAGTCCCTTTTCACTCCATAAACTGACTTGATTCTTGTAATCGCTTCAACTTTTTTTCAATGCAAAAAGAGGGGTAGAAGGTAGTTAAGTTCATGCACAATGGTGGAAGCCAAATATACGTATTTAGAAAATGAAAAATACCATCTCCTTGGAATGTTTCTGGTTTCTGTAAATCTATTACTCTGTAAATTTCAATGGCACTGATGATGGGAGGCAGGGTTGAATTTTCGGTCCTCTCCAGTGAATATTCAATTTCTTTACCACTGATGGCTGACGAGGTATATAAAGTGTCGACGGCTAGGTATCGAGGAGAAAAATTTGGAACCATTAATTCACCGTTCCTCGTGATGTTGAATTGTCTTGTCTGATTCCTGGCTAACACTTGAATCTCCATGAAGTGCATGTACACATAGAATCGGTCACTTTCATCTTGTGGCCCCCATCTTATTACCAACGGATCACTATCATCTGCTGGTGTAACTGCGGTGCTCATGATAATAGGTCCCGGTTGGTAATCGCTCTGATTTAAAGAGTAAGGAATCGAAGCATTTAGTGAATTCCAATTTTCTCCGAAGTTTAAGGCATACCAGAAACGATCATAAACATCATTCGAGTACCTGTGAGAAAATCAGAATAAATTCAATGATGAATCAATAATTCAATCTTATAAGGCAAGAGATTTAATCCTAAACTATAATCTCACCTGTAGGCTTTTCTTGAACCCAAATCGCAGCGCATCCACTTGTAAAGTTCCAACGATCCGAATTGAGTGACGTATGTATCATTTTTCAAAGTCCTGAATTCTATGGCTGTTATAAATGGTGTACCATAGCCTGTGTTAACAAGACAGATTTGTACGAAATCTAGTAAAGGTACATGTATGATCTCATTGGATTGGTAAATGAATGCATTGTATATAAACACTGTATCCCAGTGGTTAGGTCCGAGAAGAAGATCAAACTGTGGTAACATATTTCGGCCATCATAATTTCCATACAGAAAAACAGTGCGGATGAGATACTTAGAGCCTCCTGTGACATTTATTTTGTAGCAGTTCCTTTTTCCTTCTGGGAAGCTTCGAAGCCTCCGGAGTTGCCGTTGATTGTATGTGTCGATGATCGCTTCAGATGATATATTCCCAATCACACCAGTATTTATTAACTTTGCATCCGAAACATAATTTATACCAAATACTGGATCGGTATAGCTCAAACCTGGATCAGCTCCGCAATCTATGCTGATGAATCCTAAAACATAAAATTGCATATATTACTGATACTGTTGCTACACACATATCGAGAAAATTAAATATTTATAAAGATAGAATATTTCTAGAAGTTACCATCCGGACATGATTCTATCAGTAGATTTTTCTAAAAAACATAAGGATGCTTTCTCGAAGAAAACCATTTCAAACAATTGAAGTGTTATTGACAAAATTTCAAATAATTTTTCATTGCTGGCCTATGATCCCGCAGGTTAATTGGATGGGAGATACATAAATTAAAATAATACGTTGGAAGGTTAATTGGATGGGAGATAGAAGTAAAAACAAAGTAGGAGTATGAAATTAAGTTCAGCTAAAGCAAACCTAAGAAAAAGTGGAAAACTCATCAATACAAATGTATACTATATGTACTTGACATATATATATATATATATATATCAATAAAAAATGTATAATAAAATTGGCTAGCATTTTACTCTCATTTTCTTTTGCATTACCCATTAGTATATTATTGGAATAACTTGGTTTTTTAGTGAAAATTGGATTTGTCGCAACATGCTACATAATATCAGTGTCAAAAAGATAATAGAGGTCCAATCGTTTTTTAGATTCCTAAGGTTACGCGTAGTCCTTTAGAACCACCAGGTTTGCGTGTCAAAAGCGTTGTGGACAAATTGACAATCTTTAATATGGTCATAGTTAACTAGTCCAAAAATCTTATTTTATGAGGTGTAAAAATATTTATTATAACGTATAAACTGGAAACATAATTCTAGACGTTAGAATAAATTATCATAGTATACTATTTTTTCACCAATAATTTATGACATATAAACTAAAAACATAGTTTTAGACGTTATAATAAGTTGTCATAATATACTATTTTTCANTACCTACAAGAACAACTTCTGTAACTTTCTATTCTATACATGTTTGTTTTTGTTCAGTAAAAGTTATTCATACGACTCATACAGTTCTCTAATATTAAAAATTATTTATCCACAGTTTGAAAATTCAAATTTAACTTGGAAATTGATTTCACAACACAAGAAAATAAAATTATTTAAAACCAACCTGAGAGATGTTCTCGTAAGTTCCCTTTAGCCATGTATTCATATATAAGGCCCTTATTGGATCCTTCGTTACAGTAACCAATAAGGGATATCAAATTTTTGTGATGAACTCTGATTAGAAGTTTAATCTGGAAATAAAAGTCACAGCTATGTTAAACCATATAGGTTTGGTACCAAAGTCAGAAACCTAGAGTAAATTGATTAATAACTTATACCTCTGCTTGAAATTGTTGATAACCATGAACTGCTGATGGGGAAAGCATTTTCACTGCAACTGGAGTCTCATCGATAAAGCCCAGGTAAACTGTTCCAAATCCTCCCTTACCAATAATTCTATTGAAATTGTTAGTGATTTGAAGGACATCATTGTATGAATACATTTGACTTTTGCGTTGCTGGAACGAATTATCCTTTTCCGTGGATTTCTGTGAAATCCCACTCAGATGATTTACTGCCACTGGATATGTAAATTTTTCAATTTTTAAAAATAATTGGTTAAAAGATTAATTTTTTGGCATGTTGTTAACAGAAAAAACGAATTTTTCGTAGTTATTTCGGCCTTACGTTTTGATTTTTTCCTTTTAAGGATCCACAATGTTCCAACGGCTATTAGAAGAAATAAAACCCCACTGGTCGAGGCTACTGTGGGTGTAACAGTGTTTTTCTTTCTCTTCTTGTTGCATTGAGCAGATTCACATGGATATGGTTTTTGATCCACACTGGCATGGAAATCACAGAAAAATTATGATTCAAGTATCAGTAAACCTTACAAGTAATCCATAATTCAAATACATAAATCTATTTTGCTTGTGGTTAGAGATTGCGTGGATCCTGTATATATGAATCTCTAAAACTGCCTTGAATATAAGTAATTAATAATCATCAGCATAAATAATGAATTTGAGACTTTTTAATAAGATTCATACCTTAGTGAGAGAGAACCTTTGCGTGATTTTTCAACAAGTGCAGAGGGAATTGAACCGGAGAGGTCATTCTTCTCCAAGTTTCTAAAAAAAACAGTGTTTTCTATTATCTGATAGAGAGGATAACCTATACAGTGGTTGAGTAAATGAAGTAACTTACAATATCTTCAAGTGTTGTAAATGAGACAGAAAATCAGGAACTTCACCATATAAGTTATTGTTAGATAAATCCCTGGAAAACAAATAATATAGCGTTTTGAAAAATGTTTACATCTCGACTCATGTAGGAAAAGTTATGTCGATTCTTCACAAATAACAAGTACATATCGGAATCAATAAAAAGATAACGAGAGATTTTTCTGTCGGGTGAAATAAAAGAAACAAAAGAAAAAGAAACTAACAGCTTCTCCAACATGGTGAGGTTTGAGATTGAAGGGTCAATCTTTCCTGACAATCCACTCGAAGATAAATTCCTGTTTTGCTCAATGAACAGTTATATACGATGTGATCTTAATTAGTTTTATGAAGGTATAATAATAATTTGGCAAGCAAGACTTACAAAGCTTTGATTCTTGGGAACTCATTGTCATAAGTGCAGTTGAGACCATCCCACAAGTAGTCTACAGGGGAGCATGGATCACCTTCCCAGTCCCTTTTCACTCCATAAACTGACTTGATTCTTGTAATCGCTTCAACTTTTTTTCAATGCAAAAAGAGGGGTAGAAGGTAGTTAAGTTCATGCACAATGGTGGAAGCCAAATATACGTATTTAGAAAATGAAAAATACCATCTCCTTGGAATGTTTCTGGTTTCTGTAAATCTATTACTCTGTAAATTTCAATGGCACTGATGATGGGAGGCAGGGTTGAATTTTCGGTCCTCTCCAGTGAATATTCAATTTCTTTACCACTGATGGCTGACGAGGTATATAAAGTGTCGACGGCTAGGTATCGAGGAGAAAAATTTGGAACCATTAATTCACCGTTCCTCGTGATGTTGAATTGTCTTGTCTGATTCCTGGCTAACACTTGAATCTCCATGAAGTGCATGTACACATAGAATCGGTCACTTTCATCTTGTGGCCCCCATCTTATTACCAACGGATCACTATCATCTGCTGGTGTAACTGCGGTGCTCATGATAATAGGTCCCGGTTGGTAATCGCTCTGATTTAAAGAGTAAGGAATCGAAGCATTTAGTGAATTCCAATTTTCTCCGAAGTTTAAGGCATACCAGAAACGATCATAAACATCATTCGAGTACCTGTGAGAAAATCAGAATAAATTCAATGATGAATCAATAATTCAATCTTATAAGGCAAGAGATTTAATCCTAAACTATAATCTCACCTGTAGGCTTTTCTTGAACCCAAATCGCAGCGCATCCACTTGTAAAGTTCCAACGATCCGAATTGAGTGACGTATGTATCATTTTTCAAAGTCCTGAATTCTATGGCTGTTATAAATGGTGTACCATAGCCTGTGTTAACAAGACAGATTTGTACGAAATCTAGTAAAGGTACATGTATGATCTCATTGGATTGGTAAATGAATGCATTGTATATAAACACTGTATCCCAGTGGTTAGGTCCGAGAAGAAGATCAAACTGTGGTAACATATTTCGGCCATCATAATTTCCATACAGAAAAACAGTGCGGATGAGATACTTAGAGCCTCCTGTGACATTTATTTTGTAGCAGTTCCTTTTTCCTTCTGGGAAGCTTCGAAGCCTCCGGAGTTGCCGTTGATTGTATGTGTCGATGATCGCTTCAGATGATATATTCCCAATCACACCAGTATTTATTAACTTTGCATCCGAAACATAATTTATACCAAATACTGGATCGGTATAGCTCAAACCTGGATCAGCTCCGCAATCTATGCTGATGAATCCTAAAACATAAAATTGCATATATTACTGATACTGTTGCTACACACATATCGAGAAAATTAAATATTTATAAAGATAGAATATTTCTAGAAGTTACCATCCGGACATGATTCTATCAGTAGATTTTTCTAAAAAACATAAGGATGCTTTCTCGAAGAAAACCATTTCAAACAATTGAAGTGTTATTGACAAAATTTCAAATAATTTTTCATTGCTGGCCTATGATCCCGCAGGTTAATTGGATGGGAGATACATAAATTAAAATAATACGTTGGAAGGTTAATTGGATGGGAGATAGAAGTAAAAACAAAGTAGGAGTATGAAATTAAGTTCAGCTAAAGCAAACCTAAGAAAAAGTGGAAAACTCATCAATACAAATGTATACTATATGTACTTGACATATATATATATATATATATATCAATAAAAAATGTATAATAAAATTGGCTAGCATTTTACTCTCATTTTCTTTTGCATTACCCATTAGTATATTATTGGAATAACTTGGTTTTTTAGTGAAAATTGGATTTGTCGCAACATGCTACATAATATCAGTGTCAAAAAGATAATAGAGGTCCAATCGTTTTTTAGATTCCTAAGGTTACGCGTAGTCCTTTAGAACCACCAGGTTTGCGTGTCAAAAGCGTTGTGGACAAATTGACAATCTTTAATATGGTCATAGTTAACTAGTCCAAAAATCTTATTTTATGAGGTGTAAAAATATTTATTATAACGTATAAACTGGAAACATAATTCTAGACGTTAGAATAAATTATCATAGTATACTATTTTTTCACCAATAATTTATGACATATAAACTAAAAACATAGTTTTAGACGTTATAATAAGTTGTCATAATATACTATTTTTCACAAGCGATTAAGTGGCACCAAAACTTAAGAAAGATGCAGAGACGACCTCCTTCTTTCTCCTTAATTTGGACGTTGTTGAATTATAAACAAGTCAGTCTCCTTACTTAAATATTGATGTGACACTTGAGAAAGAGATAAAAATTGTCAGTCATGTTATAAGTGAGGGAGAGAGATAAAAAAATATATAAAGGTTTTTATTTTGTAGGAATTTAAATGTAACTACAACAAGGATGGGATCATGAGTATTGGAACATATATGAAAATAGGAACGGAACAAATAAATACATAGTTTTTCTCCTTCCTATTAAAAAAAAATCAAATATTACTAATATCTATATAATACTAAAATTTTCTATCAAATCGGGATTGTCATCTGGGTACAACTAAAATATAATATACAGAGCTTTACAAAATTGATTATTTTTTACTTTTACTTCACTTTTTTTTTCTCTTTAATTAAACAACTTTTATTTTTTCTCTTTTATATCTCTTCTTTTCTATTATTTTACCCAGCGTAAGACTTGAGTGAAAATTGAAGTAAATAATGATATAATGAAGTTGTTTGACAAAAACGAATGTTTTGCTTTAACAAACCTGGTTGAGCATGAGCTTGGATAAGTAGAACAGTTAAAAAAGCAATGTACAAAACCATCCACATTGTACTGGAAGGAGTCAACGTGGAGCTAACTGCAAACCCTTTTTAGAAAACCCTTTTTAGCCTTCGATCTGCAGCATAAAAATAATACTACTGAATTTATTTTGAAAACATATGTAGCATGGAAGGCTTAATATTAGCACAAAAACTGCGCAATGATTGGCTGCTATATATGCTACAAAAAGATACAGAACCAACATAATCAACTTCCTAAACACTTCGAGGAATATATACAAAAGAGACCAATAATAAACACTTTAAATTTTAATTTTGCTGTCATTGATCTTAAAGTTTATTGTCATTTAAGTAAACACCTAAAATTTTAATACTATCCTAATTAATCATTAAAAAATTTCATTTTTCATAAATGATTTTTTCTAACACATTTGAGTTAAATCATTTACATTAAATGTTACTAATTTATTAATTTCTCTTCTTCTTTTTTTACAGTTCGTATATATTAAATAACAAAAAATAGAAAAATAAATAAAAAATAAAATATATATAGATTATGTTTATTAAGTTTATTATGTTTTATTATTTTTAAACCATTATAGATAATATATAAAATAAATCTATAGACTTTTATTATAATTATTTTTTAAATCATATTAATTATACTTTTAGTTGATGACAGTGGAAACTATACACTTACACTTCATAGTTGTCAAATTTAATGAACACTATATACTAAATAATTATGTTAATGTGTGTGAACTTTTTTTTATTAATTGTTTGTATAGGAAAAAAATAAGAATTTGTTTTACTCAACACATCAAGTTGATACATTCTTTAAACGAGGTCAGACCAAATTTTTCTTTTTTTTTAAATGCAAAGAAATCACTGTTTAATTTGATTTATTTTCATGTTTGATTCATTTTTACAATCTATTTTTATTATATATTAATGTATATAAAAATAATTGTTACAAAGAAAAAATACTAATAAAATATTAACATTTAACAAAATGATTTAACTCGAACCTATTAAAAAAAGAAAATATATATTTATAAAAATTAGTAACATTATAGGATTATTTAGAATAAAATAAAATTTGTGTGATTTTAAATGCTACAGTTAAGAACGAAGCTCGGAATGGAAAAAAAAGTGTAGAGATGAAGATTTGGCCAACAAGAAACCTGCATGTATGAAGAATAAGGAAGAAGAAAGAGCAAATATATGGTACCTACGCAGTGTAGTTTTGATGAAAATTTCTGGTGTTCCAAGACTACTATACTCACCTTACCATCCATCAAAGCTATATATATTTAGCATAATACTATACTGTAAGAGTTTGTCCCTTATACAAAGAAGCAGAGGTTGAGTATTATGGAGTGACTAGGTCAGAAACAAAAAACGACAACGATGGTTGACTCTGTGGTCGCGGTTGCACCTGGACAAAACAAAAAAACAACACAAAACGACAAAAAACAACAACACAAAACGACAATGACTTTTGATTCCATGGTTGTAATCGCACCATAACTTCGGTTCCGCCACTCACGTTAACTAATGGGACCACATGCATTCAGGCGTAGATTTTAAATGCAACGGGATGCTCTCCGTTATTAATTATGTCGCCGAATCTACAGTTTTTAACTCTCCTTTTTCTTGATAGAAAGTTAGTGTTATTTAGTGATTAAAAAAGTAATATTTTTTAATTTATGTACAAGTAAATAAATTTGAATAACTTACCTGATAATTAAATATTCAAATTAAGTTTAATCTAAAAATATTATTAGTCAGGATCCGCTTAACTTAACCTTATAATGGACGAAAACCATTTAACACGGTGATTCCATCCAGCTATGTGCCGGTCAGCGGAAGCATAACCATTTGGAAAATGTTATACCCATTTACAAGTAATGTCAATAGTCATCCATACAAATTTTTCATAAATATAGTACAGGATAAAGTATAATTATTTTATTTTTAAATTAAAATTTATTAATTCATAAAATATAATTTGTTAAAAAATTATGTCACTACTCAAAATTTAATTTTTAATTTGAATATAAACTAATTTTAGTTATTTTGAAAAAATTATTTCACTCTTTTTTCTTACAAATAATACTTATAAAAAGTGGAGAACAGATGGCTGCAAAGGAGAGATCGTTCGTTTTGGACGACGGTAGTATTTAAGACAAAATTTCAAATGTTGTGCCACTTCTTTGCATGTCTTTCTTCTTCTCCAAACTGCTGAAACTCTTTTCTCCTCCTTCTCTCTAAAATCTCCTCCTTCTCTCTAAGAAAACCTTACCATTTCTTCTCTGATCACCTCTCAGGCACCGTTGGAACACTCCCGACGTCAAGAGCTTCCAGTTAAACCGTTTGGTTTATGATTATGAGCCGGTGAGTGTCTTTCTCTCTAGTACGTTCGTTTAAGTCTTGCATGCAACTCTCTAGTTCTGGTCGCCTGAGTGGGTGGTAGTATTCTGAGTGTTTCTGGTTTTCTCTATAGTTCAGTATTCCTAAAACCGTGGCCGTCAAACGTTAGTTCTTTGGTAGAGGGAAGCTTTATTCTGCTTCATTTGAGCGTTCGGTTACGTGTCGAGGTAAGGGAAGCTTATATAATTTAATTTAGCTTGTTGTGTTGAATGTCTGTATGCTTGCATGATACGTGTGATTATTTGATGAGTATGAAATATGATTGTACTGCTGGTTTGGATGTGTGGATGGAAGTATGATATACCTTGTGAACTGAGTTGGTATAGAGTTTAATTTTCGAACCGTAGTATTCTGAGCAAAGGTGATTAGCATGGTCGAGCGTCATTAGCGAGCGTTCGCTCCTTCTTGTGAGTGCATGGTCTTACTTGAATTACCATGAGTTAGGGATAGTGTTTAAGAGCCTTTCTGTAATATTATATAGGAATAGATAATTTGTGATCGAGAGTTTGTATTCATCTTTCAGTTTTCATTGAGCGTCCGTTCATATTAAGTTCTTCTTCTAGAAAGGATTTGGTTAATGAAGAGCGTGTTATAATATGTATATATGAGTGTTCAGCCTAAATGTAGTTCTTCTTTAGACTTCCTAGACAGCTTTATGTGAGTTTATTAATGATCGGTCTTGGATCAAGCATTCAGTCTCAGTAGCGCTCGTCCAATAGTGTTTGGTTTCTATAGGACTCGGTCTTAAACTAAGCACTGGGTCGTGTTTTCTTTATTGTATTATTACTATGTTTAGAATCAGAGTCTTCATTCAAACTAGATAGCGTTCATTAATTTATAGTTTCTCATCAGTATTATTATTTAGTATAAGTCAGTGTTGGTTTTTAAAAGGTGTTCGGCCTAGAGTCTTAGTACTCAGCCTAGGCTTCGTAGCGTCCGGTTGAACTCTTAGGAGGTTGTTTATTGAGGTAGATGAGTAGCGCTAAGCCTCGTTAGTTTCTAAGAAGCTTTATTTCAGTCGTACTTGGGCTATGATAGGAGCGTATGATCTTATTTCGTATGAATGTATGGATGATTAAGTATGAGAAAAATTGAGATGTGATGTGTATGAAATAGTTGATTATGAACGAGTATTCCAGGGAGGATTCACCCAGGTACACGAACGTCGTAGCTACACAGGATTCATACAGTCCGGACAGTCAGAGTCATGTGGTCATTATTTGCGTGCATGGATGTATGAATTATGATGTGGTCGTTGTTGGTTTGTTATGAACGTTGTATGTTGTGATTGAATAGATTAAATTACATAAACTTACCCTGTTTATCATTTTTGGCTGTGTTGTACGTCCTGTCGTTGTCCTGTTGCAATGATCATCCGTGCGGATGTGAGCAGAAGGAGAAGAGCTGCTGGAAGAAGTGTTGGAAGATGTAACGAAAGTGAAGGCCGAACCTTGATAGCGTTCGTTCTAGTGTTGATTTTATTTTTGTAGAGACCGTACAGTATTGATGTATTTTGTTAAACGTTCGGTCTAATAATAGCTAGCACACTTTTTAAATCCCCTGCTGTTATTTAAGACTGTTCGGCTGTAATTGTATTTAGTCGAACGTTGAACTGATCTATAGTATTGTTAACATGTGATTATTCTCTTTATGGTTTTGCACTGTATTTTTAGGATGTTACGGTAAGAGAGAAAAAAAAAAGTTCATGATAAAATTAGATTACACAGGTTAATTTATATATATATATATATATATATATATATATATATATATATATATAATATCGAAATTACTTTCTATTAATGTTGGAAGTAGAAACCAATAAAAGAAAGGACAGTGCTTCTTCATCACCACCCTTTTTTATTATTTCTTTTGTACAGGTTCTTTTTCTATCTTACATAATTTTCCTTTCTTGTTTTTAGTTTCACAATTACATTTTAATTTCTTGCATCATTCTCAATTTGTTTTGTATTCTATAAATGTTCATGGAATTTTGGTTCGATACTAATTCAATATATTTATGATGAACCAAATTAATTCAACGTGATTTTTTTGTCCATTCGACTAGCAAATTTTTCATTTTCAATCTAATTCAAAGTATGTTGGTTTTAGGATTCTGCAACTAGAATCAAAATAATATGCAAGTTATATCTTTGTATTTTTTTATATAAAGATGGAATTATGAATGAAAAACAAAAGTTAGGAAATTATAGAATAAGTAGATAAAGATAAATTGAAGTGATCAATTAAAAATTTAAATTTCAAGAATGCACGTAGATTAAAAAAATAAATTACGAAGGATAAAATAAAAACTAATATATATATATATATATATATATATATATATATAAAAATAGAAGTGGTGATCCAAATTGTAATATTTATTATTTGATTTGTGATTTCTTATTCGAGATTAAAAATGTTTGAATTATAACCACAATTTATTATCATCTCTAATTTACATTTGAATAATTTATTTATATTTATCTCTTTTCTATGACAATTACACACTAAAATAAAATAAAATAACATAAACTGTAAAAACTACTTTAAAAAATGTGCACATTGAGTCAATTGTGCCTACTCATCTCATATTTTGCAACAGCTATCATAAA